ATAGCAAAGAACAGCCTTAAAAGTTTATTACTCAATTTTATGGCACAAAACTTGACCGATTTGCAAAATATATTTTTTTAAACTTATTTCGCTCCTCTTTTCTTAAAATTAATGCGCCAACTCCTTATTACACTAACCTCAATTTTACGGACGCAAAACAAAATTTTCCGTTTTGTGAGCAGATATAATTAAAAGGTTTCTGCTCTTCATGAATGTCCTTTTATAGTGCAACATACACACATTTTGTTCATTTCCGCAGCATTTAATAGCGTAGAGAATTCCTCGAAAATCAACTAACGCTGGATTTCGCCCATTTTTGCGTCTATCTTCTCCCAGTATTCTGATTTGACCGGAAGTAAATTCTAGTAAACAACATTTAGCGTCTCAAGTTAACCCAATGAGCTACATAAACAACCTCAAGTGTGCTTTCAATCTTCCAATCCCCAACGTTTCATCAAATATGTAATCTACTGAAAATATTCTTATCGACAAGACTATTGGAACCCATCAAGTAGTCCGGTCAAGAAATTGGGATTGGGTATTGATCCTCGTAGTTAACGCTGTCCCCACCCCAATAAACTCTATAGTCACCGTTTCTGCAGGACAAAGTGCTGGGACTAGGGTATATGAGGCGGGCTACATAAGCTACTTTTGCCAAAAATAGTAATAGATTTTTAACTAGAAAATACGCTTACTAAAAGTGAATTGCTTAAAAAGCATTATAATAACGTTTGGTTTCCTCAACAGGAGTTTTATCAAGGTTCTTGAATCTGGGCCATGTATGCCATTTACTTTAAAAAATCAAGTCAGCCTAGTAGTCATTCTGGTGGATTCTGGATGATTGCTTAGGAAATTCTGCTTGGGCAGTCAACTTGCTGTTCCGTATTAGTGGATTCCATACGGGCGTTAACGTTGGGCAGGTGATATCGACCCAAGTGTAATTAAACTCATGGCGCCAGGTGGGGCGTTTGTAGCTCAGCGGTTAGAGCGTCGGCTTCCGGAAAAGGCCTTTTCTACGATGCGGGTTTAAATCCCGTCGAACGCCTCGAGTTTTTTACAATTAGGTCAACTCAAGTCAAGTTAACTCATCTACCAAAATAGGTTAGGTTTCCACAATTTCTGTTTTAAAGTTTCATCATCTCCGAACACCTTCTGGTTTTTGGGCACGTTTAAAGTTATATCTAAATAAATTTTTATCGCTTTTGTTCGGCGTTTCGTTTTTAACGAAATAGAATTTAAGCGATGCTGCATTAAAAGAGTAAGATAACAAATGCAAGTCTATCCAGGTTCAAGTCCCATAAAAAAACGCAGGCTTAAGTTCAATGCGAGTGGTTTAGTGAGGAGTTATCAAACGCAGTTTATTAGCGAATTTGAAAGCAGCAAATGTGTTACGTAACTTATTTCTCCTAGAAGAGTGGTATCACGAAAATAAAATCATGAAAACATTCAAAATTTTAGAATGGCTAAATATTTAATTTTTGAGCAGATGCCTGGTGCTTAACAAACCGAAGTATGCACTTTGGGAACAGCTATTTTATGGTTTGAACAGATTATTGACCATAAAGTGACAAAGTAAATAGCTATTTGACGACCTCCTTATTTTATGTTTTTTTTAATATTATAAGAGAAACGACATAAAAGGTCATCTGTTTTTTACACCCATTAGTAGCCCTGGTAAGACTTGCAGCAGACATGCCTTTAGAGCGCCTTCTATAGGGTTTTTGGCTTAAAGCAGCCATACTTAAACCTGTTTGTTCAATTATAACTGCAACTCTGAATTACTGATTCCGGTACTTGGCAATTCCCCAGTAGGAAACATATTGCATTGAAATACATATTGAAATCCGTAAATAAATCTCCTAACGCTCTCATGTATTGTAAGTTTGCACGATCTTCAGTGTCATTTAGCAGCGGCGTTTTAAGAATTTTCGAACAAAATGCCTCGTATTTTAATTTTTAACGAACGATCTTTGTTCAATCATACGTCAGTGGGAACATTTCTACGGTGATTTTTATATTACATTAAATGTAAAATGCATTTAAAACCCCTATATTTAGTCTTAGGAGTTGCAGCTTCGAAAACCTCCTAGACTATGATAGGAAGAGGAGCTGGTTTGGGGTACATCACAGGTGTGTGTTTGCTGGTTTTGATTATTTTTATTTTTATTTCCGAAAAATCGTAAATGAGCATCTTGGATAGGGACAATCGGTCCGTCTGCGCTTGCTTGGTAGTTGCTTTGTTTTTAAGCAAAAACACAGATATTTTAGAACATAACATGTTTCCTCAATAAAATTGGGAAAACATACAACAGTTCCTTGCCAAAATGCGTTTGATATTCCAGAACTGATCATGCTCCCTTAAAATATGTGTCTGGCTAGAGACTTTGCGGATGATAGTATACATGCAGAGAGTCAAACAAGTATAGGCTCAAAGACAAAAATGCAAGAAAGGTAAGTAGCTGCTTCCGGCATCTTTGCCGTTATCAGTCAGTAATGGCGTAATCGCACAAAAAGACGAACCCTATATCACTCAATGAGTAAAACTTTCCAACAATAGATTATAAGGTAAATCGTTTTAACGAAGTTCAACAACATATAGACCAGTGGGATTTTTTTTCAATTGCTTAAACCTTCTGGCAAATAAAAACCAAGGTTTGACATTATAATTAAGTCCATTTTTGTAAAAAATATACTTATGCTATGCCATAATTTGTATCAATGGTGAAACTAACGATTAAATGACGAATTACTCCCTGAAAACATATTCAGTCCATTCTAGGTTGACGTCATAATTCCGGGCGTATTTTTGTCCTGAACATTTATGACTTAACTTTTCATCGGATAACACTTAGAAACTCATGGCTGTCTTGTTGGGATTAAAATCCACGATAGAAAACTGAAAGTTCCAGGTCGGCGAGCACGTTAACTACCTGACCATCAGGTGCCAACTAGGAACCCTGGGATTTTATTATAATTGAAAAATGTTGCCCGTCTATCTTACTGAAACCTATGCAATCCACAACAAGCTGACGAACAAAAGAATATATCCGATAAAAGAAGTGTAAGTAGTTGAACTCATACACACCTAACCCAGCATTTTGTCTTACGGAACCGGAGGTCAGGGGTTTTGTAGGTGGGAATTTAGGATAGAAAGGAAAGTTTTAAAAGATATTGTATAGTGCTAAACCCCATTTATTTTGTGGTTCTAATCAGTGCGGCGTCGAGGACGTGGTACAAAATTATGTTGGAATATACGTTACCAACATCTGAATGCATTTATGTTATGAATCACGCTGGTTCCTAGAGTGTCAGAAATGTATGTCTGGCTGTTGATTTAAGTAGAAATTATTTATATATTACTGTTTTGGATTATGTTTTTTGATTTATGCGCTCCAATTAGTGGCTATATAGCGGTCGCGGGAAACAAATTCAACCATATTTTTTACATATTTACACTTACGTTTACAAGTTTCCCTCACTGCCTCTCCTATTTTCTTACCCATAAAAACCCAATTAACACCGATCTCGCACGTCAGAATGCTTGGAATTGGGGTATATTTAGTACTTGACCTACATTTCCCGAAATTACTAAGCTATAAATCTAAAATCTATCTGTTGTTGTTTAGTAGGTTCATTAAGGCAGTAAAATATTTAGCAGCTCTGACAGGAGTCTACTTCTGTTGTTTCTAGGGACGGCTCAGGACGAACTGGAACTTTTATATGCATAAACGAACTGTTAGATATCATCAGACAGGACGTTATCGGTGCTACAGTGCCAGTGGCCCAGTTTGCCCTACGACTGGCTGCAGCCAGGCCACAGATGATCTCCTGTGTAGAACAGTACGCCTTCATTTACGCCGTAATCTCCGAATGGGTGAGGTCAGGCGGCAAGACAGCAGTGCCGGTGGCAATGCTGCCGGTGGCAATAGAGGAACTCAAAAAACCACCCAAATCGGGTTTTGGAATTGGCTGCTGTTCCAGCAAGTACGAGGCCGAATTCACGGTAAGAACGGTATCGCATTTGCAATAGACATATATGCTAAAGATGGGTTGTTTCAAAATGCATAGATGACTAGGTAAAAGTTGTCATTATTTAAGGCAAAAACAGCAAATGGTCGTAGTATGCCTGATTTGCCACTAAAATATAAGTATTTTTGTGCAGGCAGACCTGGTAGTGATAAGCCTAGCAGCTAAAATCCTCTACTTTAATTGCATTATAGTTCCAGTTAGGAAAAATGCGTTATAAGACTTCCAAAGGGGAGTAGAAAAACTTTAAATAACTTTGTTTTTCACCAAATTACAGCAAACGCATTGTTGCTATTACACTGAAAATATGAATTGGTGTTGGAAACAGAGACTAACAAAACAAAACAATTTATACGGGACAGTAGTAAAATTAAGTGAAAGCAAAGATTTTTCATTTCTGAACTTGGCATTTACTTCCACGTTACTGAAAGTGGTCCTGCCAATGACGAAGTTTTAATTATCAGAGTTTAGCACCTAACACACTTAACTTTTTACTTAGTCCCAGAAGTTGTTTTTAGAGTCGTCATTTTGCATGCAAAACGTGTCTAAATGCTATTCTATCTGAGCAAACAACTATGATTCTCACAAAACAGAATTGCAAACGCATCGCTGCTATTCCATTGGAAATATACGATGGTTTGGACACGAAGTCTAGCTCAAAACAATTAATTCAGGACAGTGGACCGGAAAAATGAGAGTATTGTACGACTTAGCAATAACATCAAGTGAAAAAGGGGTTTTTTATCTCTGCGTCTGGCATGGTACTCCACGTCACCTAAATCACAGGTAATTTGAAGAAGACAAATGTATTATAGATGGCTCGATTCAGTATACATAGCTTAGTAGGCAGTGTGTGCCACTATTTAAGGCAAACACGGTAAATGGTCGTGGTATTCTCGATTTTCCACTAGCATTTAGGTATTTTTATGCAGGAAGACCTGGTGGTAATTAGCATCACATCAAAGAACGTCTGCTTTTATTGCATTATGTTTCCGGTTATCACAAATGCGCTAATAGAATACCGATACAGAGAGCAAAACTAAGCTGTGCAAATGACTCACAAAACAGGGCTGTAAATGCGTCTTTACTGCTACATTGGAAATAGGAGACAATGTCGGGCAGGGAGACTAGCGAAAACAATTAATACAGGACTGTGAACGGGAAACCATTGTACATGAGCCTGACATGGTAGTCAACGCGGCCTAGCTTATAAAAACTGTTTTGCACAAAATGAAATTATCAGATTTGAGCCACTAAAACTTTCGACATTTCATTTCTTACTATAGGTTTTTTTTTGCAAGGCGTCATTTTGAATGCAACATATGTTTCACTTTCTCTTTCTAAAAGTTCATAAATTTGAACAGAAGCGTCCGCGTTCTCATTTTATGGGAATAAGCTGTATTAGCAGCTGCAAAAGAATTGTTTTCAGCATCCCCACTTGATTTTTATCTTAAAGGAGAAGAATTCAACCAGACAGGATGTTCGGCATTTTAAAATATTTTTTGTCCCATACAAACCATACGAAGGGCGTTGCGAACAAACAACTGGCTTTTAGATCGCTAGACATTCTATTGATTATAAGGTGTCATGTTGGTAAATCTGCATTACTTCAAGTTTCGGAGAACACCAAAAGCGACTGTAGTTAACCGTTTGTTTAAAAGCGCTAACATGGTCCAGACATTTACAAATGCAGTATCAAATGCATATCATAAGGAAAATTTAATCAGAATACATATTTCCGTGTTATTAGTTTAAATCGGAATGGCGAAAAGGTTCGCGTTTTGGGCAATGTGCACTACATAGATGCCGGCTTTCCCTTTGTGTCCTCGGCGGATAAATTTCGTAAATTCAAGCAACGATAGAAAAAGGAGACGACATAGAAGAAAGGGGTTTGCGTTTTGAGCAGACAAAAAGTATAAGTATTGTTTAAATTAGTGGGAAAAACGGACAAAACTACAGGGTTTTTCTTGACACAAGCGTAGACATTTGCATGGACCTCTTGCTGTATAATGTTATATTAAAGAAATTTTTAAAACGGGAAATCTCACAGGAAGAATGTTTACTTTTTCTGGAGGCACATGCGCCGCTAAATTACGTTGTAGAATTTTACTTATTATTCCAATAAGGGGTTGCCGTTCACTTGAGTCATCACGAATGGCCTAAAAAAACAACCTCACATATCGTAGAATTGGAAATTACTTGCTAATTTTGTAAGTTCTTTCCAAAAATATCCTTTTTTGAAAATTGCATTGCACTAATCATACTTAACCTTTTTGAACTTACCCGCCGTTCCCTAAACCACTTACTACATTCATCGGTGTAGGAGAAAGTAAATATTTCCCTACGATGTGCAAAACCGTTCCCATAGTTCGTATAAAGTGTTGCAAGTTGTATAATTGATGGTAAATATAAATAAATAAATAGCTGCATGGCTTTATAAATACATATTCCATAGCCCTATAACTAGAAACAATTTTGAACTTGAACTATGCACAGCCTGTGGGCATGCATTTTAAAGAAGGAGCGATTGGCTACAACATGAGTACCAGAAAAAAGAATTTTGTTCAATTTTTCTGTTCAATATACCTGCAGTTAAATCCAATGAGAAACATGCATACTATTTTAGAAGTTATATTAACAGAATATGCTTTTTTTCAGATGGTCAAAAATGCGTTATTTCCTAAGCATACTAAAATACGTTCAGATTAGACTGTATGATAACCATATTTTCCATCATAATAAATAAATGAGTTCAAATAAAAGAAAACATTTCAGAATTTCGGTTCACATTTTATGAGATGAGTGTTTAACTCTTACTTATTATATCTACAGCGCATGATATTTTCGAAGAAAATTTAGCTTCCTGGATTTACTAGTTCAGATACACTCAGTTCGGTAAAATACTCTATGAAACATTCAGGTAGCCTTAATATTTTTTGAAATATTTTTCTTATATAATTCGGTGTTCATTCTGGTCTGTAACCCGGACGTCCAAGGGATGCACCATCTCAAATGTATCCCCTGTGCTACCTACCTTGCCTTTTAAAATGTGGTTACCAAACCCTAAGGGCTTATTTCTCAAAATGTTCGTTCATTCTAGAAGAAATGCCGAACACACTCAAACGCGAAATTAATGGTCCCTGTCAAACTGACAATATTCTCAAGGCGGTAGACCTATTCAAAAATGGCCGTTTGTTTTTAACTGAAAGAGACAGTGTGCTCAGTACAAGTAGGGGGTGTCTTTTGTCGATTACGGGTGGCCCGGAAAAAAAATCTTTAGAAATCGCGTAGTCCAATATATATACCATGCGATGAGCGTCATTCTGGTCTAGCAAGTGGGAAGCAAAAACATTTTTAGTGTTTTATCATTTATCTAGGCAAAGTTTTATGGGATATTTGCTGCTTCGTTTGCGTGCAAGCATCAGGAGTCCTGCTGACTATATTTAAGTTGTTTTCTGCCTCTGATGACAAAATCACCCAATCTGTCAACATGGAAGGTATATGTCTCTATAAATATTATCAAGGCATAGCAGATTGCTTGAAATAATTAACACTTGATATTATCATGCCACGTTAGTGTATTTTGGGGTTTAGGCGAATCCAGTCGGGTTATAGTTGCCAGAATTCCGACAGCGCAAATAAACGCATGCCTAGAGGCTCAAAAAACCAGTAGGCATGACGGAAATGTGGTCTTTAAAGGAAATATAAAAAATATCACTTTCGAGTTAGTTACTTAAATTGTCGTTCTATTAGCAGACACATTTAGAAACGTTGGAAAACGTAATTTGAATTCGGTTTCTTCTTAGCACTCGTTTATCGAAGCGTATTTCAAGCTACTTTTACCATCTAACCAGGTGCAAAGGCTGCATAAGCGCCTAAGCTGCATATAGGCGTTAGCGATTTTAAACAAAACGCACTGCAAGAGATTATGTTGTAATTAGCCAATAGCTGTATCTTCGGCCTCCACATATATGTTATCCGAGTTGCGGCATAAATGTTTTCTTCAAAGGCAGTTGCTACAGAAAGGGATAAAAGGTAAATAGACTATGCAGTAGTTGTAAAAGCACATCGTCTTTGTAGATAGATATCAACCTTTTTCTGCAGCACAACTATGCGCATCCTTATCTTAAATAATCTTTGTCATTAATGCTTGACGTTTTTATGAAATTCCGTGCCCTCTAATCGCATAATAGTAATTGGTGAGGAAATTTTGTCCGTGTCTCAAATGTTGATGTCTCATCCCTCAAGGGGTTTACGACTTACGTTTGCGCAGACTCTAATTTTTGATAGAAGTATTTAGACTTTGCGTAATTAAATTGACAGCGAAAAAGGGATAAAAACGGCTTCTTGTAATTTATGTTTTTTTCCATATACAATAACCATTTTTAGTCTATACCCAAAATGACAGACAATTACAATTGATCTTTTGGATTCTAGAAACAAATGTTACATGGAAAAATTATAGGTTTTTGTAATCTTACAAGTACTCATTCATTGCTACCAGCCAAGTCACTTAGAATGTGTCCATTGTTTGCTAAATGTAGTTACCTACCTGCAGTTTCCGTGGTAATTAGCCTAGGTCACACATTTTAAGAAAATGTGACAAAGGGTTTTTAAACATGTTTTACAAATTATTTAAGGCCGTATAATCGCTCTTATCCAAAATTGGTATAATCATATTTAATGATTAGTAACCAGCACACTTGCATGCAAACGTCCAAATACAAAAGCATTATTATTATAGGACATTGTTACGAAAACTGGTGAAAAAAGAATTCATTATCGCCAAGTGCGTGCCTTTTAAGCAAACCCGTTTGTAGTTACCCCTTGCAAACGATTAAGCATATGCACTAGAATTTAACATTATGCGTATATTATTAGTCTGCAGTGCGCTACATGGAGTATTATAGAGGAATTTCTAAAAAAGTACAGATAATGTGAGGCTGGTGCTTTCTATTTTGCACCATCACGTTCACCATCTTTGACACCAATGGCAGTTATTTTATCCTACTGCGCTAATGCATGTTTTAGTGCTAGCAACAAGAGACCCACTATAATCGCCTTCTGATTACCCAGTGAGGTTTTAGTTTTTGTTAGGTTGTTGCATATTCTGTTATAGATGGACTGAAAATATTAAAAAGAGATGCCTGCGTATCCCAAAGGGTCAAGATTATAACCCTGTTCCCTTTGTAATCGCTGAGTTCTCGAAAATCAAATGGAGAATGATCAGCTTTGAATGCGGACTGTAATAAACAATTCCATTGCAGTTAACTTGGCTTAATGTGACATATGTTTTCTTAAGAATGACTTTTTTGACAGTTAAAGAACGGCATTTGTTTCGTAGAAAATTCCATATTATATGCGAATATTCCATAATCTGGGAAAAGCGTCCAAACTAATAAGGACATTTAAGTACTCAAAACCAATTTAGCGAGAAATAAAAAGATTTTCTGAGTTGTAGTGTAACATTGGAGCGAAAACCTTCAGATAGTATGCAAATCATACAAAATAGGTAAAATGAATATTACCTGAGCACCAATATTTTAAAATCACACTTAAGTAACGAATTTCCAGTATTCCTCCTTTTGAGACGGTAGTCAGTGGTTCTACTCATGCACGTACGTTAGTTTTTATCTTTGTGATAGTTTTTATATTAAACAGCAAGTGCAGAAAACATAAAAGAAAGCCCGACGGA